TTAAAAGGAAGCGTTGCACTAAATTCTGCTGTGTATATCTGGGTGCTGAATGCTTAAAAAGAAATCCCAGAAATAATCAGCAGGACAGGATTTCATTTGTATGATTTTTTTTAATGCCACCAGCTTTATGGATCCCACCTCAATTTTAAGCAGACCTGCCTGAATGACTCACTTGAACCAGCAATATACCTAAACACAACCATTGGAGCAACTTTGGGACCTATATATGTAATTATGCATAATAACTTTGACATAGAGTTCTAATGCCTAATTCACTCTGTGCTAGCCTGTAGTGAATGCTGCTAAGGCAGAGCTGATGAGGAAGCAGGAGGAGCTGGCAAAGAAACCCCAGGGGCTGGAGAGTATAGAGCGGAAGCTTGTGACACACAACCTCGTAGCAGGAGCAACGGGAGTTAAGTGTAGAAGTCAGAGAATTTGAAACCTTCAGATTTAAAAGACCGTTGTCCAACATTATTTTTTATTTCTTACTGTGTACGTGATTATTGCAATTTTTGAGCACCCACAGCTTCACAAGTAAAAGAAGCCAGCCACATTCTTTTTTTTTTTAGAATCAGCTTTATTGATCAAGTATATGCACAGATACAAAGAATTGGGCTCCAGTTTTTTTTTCATTGCTTTGTGTACTCAACAGAGTTTATAAATAGATAATAACAACATGGATATAACACATTTCCAGACTTATATGTGCAACGGAGCAGAGTGCATGATGCTGGATTCATTATGACATGAAGAAGGGTGGATAACTGGTTACTCTATATAAAGTACCTGGCGATAACACCAGCTAACCTAATCTGCTTCATAAAAGCACCTAAGGAGCACCTAAGGCAGCTGATAGTAGCTGAAGTTCCCTCTGCGCATTGAAAAAAGACGCCCTGAGGGGTGACATTGTGCTGGTGTCATGGTTTAAAAAAGGACATTGCAATGCTGGAGCTTACACTACTCTTCAGAAGAAAGAGTACTTCTTGTCACTGATTGCTTTTTTTTTTGTCAAAGAAATGTTCTAATATCCCCAAAAGTTGATTTTGTTCCTCTGGACATAGGGTTTTCAGTGGGAGAAATATAATCATCCATTGAAATTCTTAAATTTACTTATGGCTGTGTTTTCTTACACGACATGTAACATAATAACTGAAACAGTATCAAAAATATTTCTCTATAGATTGGCTCTAACAGATGTGTTCATACATTATAACACCTGTTAAACGAATAGGAAATGAACTGATGACATCCCAGTGACACCAAAGTGTTTTTTGACTTTATTCTTCTTCAGCCTGGGAGAATAACTGCCCCCCCCCCCCCCCCTCCCCCCCTCCAAGACTTAAGACTTCCTAGTTGGAGACAGTAAACTGATTCGTGCATGCGTAACTTCTCCTACACTGTCTGGCACAAGAGCTTGAATGTTTGTACAAAGACTCGCGCTTCACTGTTAGATCAAAGACTTGGGGACACTGACATGGGGCATCTGCAAAACAACCAATCCAGCTGGTTAAGCTTGCAGAAGTTCTCCTTGAGTCCTTCAAAGAGAAATTGTAGAATTTCTCCACACCTTGTCTCTTAGATTAGGCCAGGAAAAAAGTGTAAGAGGAGCCTTTAATATTTCCTTGATACTGACACTTGACACGGATTTTGAAAGTGAGAGAGAAAGTAAATGTTGCTAAATAGAAGGGAAACAAAACAGAAACAAGTTCTAGTTTTGTTCTTTTACAGTTTTAAATGGATAAAGCAGAGATGTCAAACATAAGGCCTGGAGGCCAGAATTGGCCTTGCAAAAATTCCAATTTTGACCACTGAATGGCTTTGGAAAACATGATGGAGGGCATAAATATTGAACTTCTAACTGCATTTTGTGAAGTTTCAGAGAGGGGATTTTAGAGGGGACTGTTTGCTTTAAGACCTGCAGGATATACTGCCTGGTATCAGATGCCAAAGGACAGCACCAAAAGTACCATATTTGGCATATTCCTGCCATCTGTCCATACAGATGGACAGATGGCATCAAATTGCATCTTTTCTTAAGAGCTGATGCAATTCAGCTGACTGAGCTGTCACAGGGTGTATCCAGTAAAAACAGCCTGTAACTGCTTGTGTCATTAATAATTATAATTTAGATTTTTGCAGAATTATCAGATTTTGAGGACACCTGGAAAACCGTGAAAGTGTTATTAAGATTACATTATGCAGTTTCTGTGTGAAAATGCAAAGAACAAGAGATTTAAAAACAGTGTGGAGCTTTTTTAATAACGGCCTGTCACACTCTGAAATCTTGACCAGGCAGCAGACGACAACAGTACCTGTGAAAAATGGCATCATATTGCATCAGCCAGAGTCAAAAGGGAGAAGGATTGTTTGGTTTTGATCCCTAAAGTCAGGCTGCAGTTCTTTTCCTTTTTATTCATAGTCTCTTTGTTGTTTATCTATGTCAAGTCTGCACAGGCAAGCTGTTCTTCAACCTGACCTCTTCCCTGGCCCTGTTCTGCATCACCTCGTCCAGTGATGCTCGCTCTGGTCTGTGCCTCGCCGCCCTGTGGGTCGTACTTTTCACTCCCTGCTCCTTTATCTGCTGGTATCGACCTGTGTACAAAGCCTTCAGGTGTGTACCTCCTTCTTGGTGAAGAAGTTCAGAGTTGTTTTCCTTTTTGGTTTTTGCTCAGTACACTCACAAAAAATTGTCTGAGTTGTTAGTTACTGTGCAGACAGCTCAGTAATTATATTGTTCCCTCTTCTAGGAATGACAGCTCCTTCAACTTCTTTGCCTTCTTCTTCATTTTCTTTGCCCAAGTGGTTGTCTTTGTCATCATGACCATCGGCATCCCTGGTTGGGGGTTCAGGTAAGGTACCTAAACAAACATCTCTTTGTTATCCCAGCTAAAAACTAGCTGGCGAGTGGTTGCTGGCAGTCAGTAGGTCAAACTGATAGAAAAGCAACTATTGCATTAAAACCCAAAAGTATATGGCTCAGTTAAAGTCTAAACAATACTAGAAATCCTGCTCATTTGGAAGTATTAAGACTTGGATCTTATTTTTAACTATAGAGAAAGGTAGTCCAATCATATTGGCTAATGAACTAATACAAAATTCTTTCTGAATCTTTTGAGCAATGTGATTCCTACATTTGTTGTTCTTGCCCATGCACTTTGTTCATTCTAGGTGCATTGCTTGTTCTCTGTATCATGCATGTATAGTTGTTGTAAGCCATAAAAATGAATCGAATGAGTTGAAAAAAGGCTTATTTTCTTCAAAAGTCTTTAATTTGGTGATGATAATAAGTGCATATTTAATACCTGCTTTACATATTGTTTTATCAATACCTATTCAATTTTAGGGACAAATGAGGATACTATTTTAAACCTCTATTTTCACAGTATGTGTTCTTGTATGTTTGATCTTTGTGTGTTTCTCTCTGTCCTTCAGTGGTTGGATTGTGAGCCTTTCAGCTCTGAGCTTCAGTTGCATTGCCGGTGCGATCATGATGATCAATGCCACTCTTTTTACTGCAGAAACCGTCATGTCGTGTTCAACTCAGGTTGATGTCACTTAGATAACTTAGAAATGTTCATGTTTGGTTTATCTTAGTGTTTGGCTGAGATTAAAGTTAAGCTCTTCATAACTGAACCGTTTTATTTCAGTTTAGAGTCTTACTTGGAGAGCTGTCAGTATATTTTAAACTGAATATTTCACCTGTCATATCCCCTCATGTAATATGTGCTGTTCTTATTTAAACAGCTGACTTTGAATTAAATCTAACATTAAAAATATTTAAATTCAGGAGGAAATTCAGGAGGTAATAAAGATCCTGAAGCCTGCTCCAAAAATAAAAGAGTTCTAACATCTCATCTGTTTGTTTTTATTCAGGCATACATGTATACTACTTTTATTAATAGCGAGAATAAGCGTGTGTTTCAGTCATAATAATTGTGTTTAACTGTATGAAGCTTATTAGACATTATGAAAAAGATGATATGTAAAAGCAAATTTTGCCAACGCGCTTGATACTTTTTAAATTACCTTTGTTTTCTTAAAAAAAAATAGACAGGTAGATAAATAGATTCAACAAGAATTAATTTCCAGATGAGTCCTATTCATGATGGTATGGATGACACTGGCTCTCTTATAAAGTGTAGTTTTGAGACTGACTGCATCAGTAAGAGTTAACGATATGCAGTTGAATGAAAGGAAGCGATTAGCATTTAAAGTATTTCTTATATTTTGAAAGGAAAAAGGGAAATGTTTGAAAAGTAAAGAAGGAAAATATGAAGAACAAAACACAAAAATTCACAAACCCGATAAATGCTGATCGGATGTATAAAACAAATTATTTAAAAAACAGATATGTGGTGCAAAAATAACTACAGAAAACAACAAAGACACCTTTAATGTTTATTCTTAAGCATTTTGAAAAAAAACTTTTTTTCACACACACCCACCAATTGCGTAACATTCAAAAAGTGCAAATCAAACGCCGCACATGTAAACTCACTTTTCTGTACATTTTCCCATTTCTTGTTAAAGTTAAAATTAGCCAATCACGTGACAGCAAGTCAAAACATGTAATCATTTTATCATGTAGACACAGGTCAAGACTACCTTCTGAAGTTCAAGTCAAGCGTCAGAATACCCTCTAGCAGATCGTTACGTGGAGAAACAAGTGTGCTGATCCACACTGGTGTTCACTGTTCACAGACACAAACTACACCTTTCTTGGCTGCTGTTTCAAAAGCACATTGTGCGCAGTCGGTCCTGCGTGCAGCACAACATTGTTCAATATTTAGTATTTACTGTTATTTGCTGTTAGCTATTAATGCAATGGTGTTGTGTTTATTATGCCGCTCTCTTCTTTTTTGCTTGTTTTCTCTTTTTTCCTTTTTTTTTCTCTCAACGGTTAATTGAGGAGATTTATATATTTTTAAGTGTCCTTTCTCACTGTCCCTCTTCCCCTCTGGTTTTCTTTTCCTTCATTCTTCTTTCTCCCTTTCCTATCCCCCAGCCATGTCTGTCCCATCTGTGAGAACTGAAAAAAAAGCATCAAAATAGGAAACAAAGGTGATTTAAGGCAGGCTAATTTCAGAAACTGCATATATGCTGGGAATTTCCCACACAACCATCCCTGATATTTACAGAGAATGGTCCAAAAAAAGAGAAAATGTCCAGTGAGCAGGAGTAAAACTGCCTCGTCGATGTCAGAGGTCAAAGGAGAACCAAGAGCAATTTGCATGATGCTGTCACATTAATATGAACAAAACAAAGTATCAGTAAGATGTACCTATTTAAGTGTCTGTTGACTGCAATAAAGTCTCAGTGACAACCAAGGCTTTAAATGAAAATGAAAAAGTCTACAGCCTCCCCATGTGGTCATTTTATGAAATGGCACCAGACAAGCAGGAAACACTGCACTTACTCTATAAGTGTATTTACCAAACCCATGCTAGTTTTTCAAGCTGACTTGGTTATATTGAGCTATTTTTCAGAACATGTATGTAAAAAGAAGCCAGTTATGTTAAAATGTTATTCTTTCGGATGTGCAGAATGCATAGACTGTACCAACTAGCAATAAAATAAACAAAGGCATCACATGTAATCCACCGGGCATGGGCTCTTTTTCCAGGAAGCAGCTCAAAGACTGTTCAACATTTTCCAAACACCAGGAAAATGTTCCAAGTTTTGCAAACTCATACGCTGATTTGGATCAGATTAAAACAAACTAAAAGACTCCAAGACTTCTGCAGTGATCAGTGACTACCAGTCAAAGTTCATGTTACATTTTATCATTCAAATGTTAATGAAACCAGTGTTACTGTAAATACAGCAAATTAGGCATAGGATAGAAACAGAGGAGATCTGTCACATAATTGATACACACATTTGTGCTGTGTATGGGGCACACAGATGAGACAACAGTGAGTTCTGGGTGTTTTAACATGTTGTATAGTTTCTACAAGTACAAACAACTTGTGTATGGTGCACATCATTAAAAAGTGTATTCTAATTATCTGAACTAAAGTAATAAAAAGTGCATTTAACTTTAAGTAGAGTAGTTTTACTTCAGTATGCTACATTATTGCCTCTTTTCAGCTTAATTGTTAACACTGTTGTTGAAACCGTGCTGTAGTAAATGATGTCTTTATATCTATGTGTCTCTATCACCCTAACATGGACCTTATATAGAACTTTTATATTCTAGCTAAGCGCCCAAAGTACCGTATACAACATGCCCCATTTACCCATTCTTGGGTAGCATCCATACAGTTTAGAATAACCAGGGATTGAACCACTAACCTTGAAACTAGTCGTTAACCGGCGCTACCTCCTGAGCTACAGCCACCCGACATCACAAGAGAAACTGAGCTGATAATGTTAACTTGAAAATGACAAACCTTAAGCAACCGTTACTTTTTCTGAAATGTGGGTTGTAGAGAGATGATCAGAACCGAGTTATAAAAACAAGAAAAAGTGCATATGTCTACATTAGCATAATGTTCGCCTTGCATTTGAATTCGCATTTTTCTTCTTTTCAATACTGTTATTGGATGTACTAGTTTTCCAATATACCATGGTTTACACTTCATTAATTCAAAACAAACCTGACATAATTGTTCATGGCAATACACCCCATTCATTTATTGCTGTAGGATAAATCAGCTATTATCCTTCTTAAGTAGGTAAATAAGTACTTTGAACATGATTGAAACGCAGGCAGAATTTCCCACTTCTTGATTTCTGGGGGGTCAAGTCTACAGATTTTACAGCATGCAAACATTAGTAACATTAAAACCACTTACGGGGGGTAAGAAAACCATTAATCTTCTCATTTCGTTGCAGTTTTCTGCTGAGAAACCTTAGGTTCTGGGTCATGTGTGTGATACTTTGACACATTACCTTGGTGTCTGTCCACGCACAGAAGGACAATGCATCTGCTTATCAAATACACCAAACTTTAACTGAGATAATCTCTTGTTACAGAAATTTTGTCTGGCAATATCTTCAGTGGCATGTCGTTTAAAGTACCTATGCATGGAAACAGCTTGTCAGTGCAAGAGTGTGTGAAACTCTGTAAGTGTGAGCCAGTATCAGGATCAAAGAATGACAGCTTTCCTCTGTTCCAGTCCAGATGAACTCTGATCCTCTGCAGCTTCTTTTTTACTCGGAGAGCAGACGGTGGGGCTCCCAGTATGCGTGTGCTGTATTTACCATTATAGAACTCGATTTGCCAGAATCCTGATTTTACCCGCTCCCTTTTCTGAATGGATTCGGCTGCCACTCCAACAAACCAGGCTGTGTTGTCTCCCACTTCAACATCCCAGCTGTGGGTCCCTGAGTTAAAGCCCTCCCAGCCATGGACAGAACGATGATAATCAGTCCTCTCTGGGTTTTCGGGAAGCTTCTGTCGCTCTCCGTGACTTACACTTGTCAAATCTTCAGAGAGGATAAATTCTGGGTTGGCAGTGTTTGGATCCAGAATCACAGGAAAGTAGGAGACCATTTTCTTCATTTTGTTCCAGATGTTGAAGGTCAGGTTGCCCAGGTGTTTAGCCACATCTATCAGAGCTCCTGTGGCCAGCTCTGGATCATCCAGTAGGGGCTGCTGTTGGACTAACTTCACTGCATCGTTGTAGTTCTGCAGGAATAAGACGTCTTCGGCTTTCAGCTCCTCCTCCGTGGCTCTAATCGTTTCTGAAAGAGCTGCTATCTCTCTGATCAGACTTTCAATCTTCTCCTGTATTGTCTTAAACTTCTGCTCCTCTTCCTCCCTCAGTGCAGTGATCCTGGCCTCCTCTTCCTCTTGTAGAAACTGGTGCATCCTCTTAAAATGCTCTTTAATCTGTCTCTCTGTGTGGCGAGCCTGGACCTTAATGTGTTCTGCTGTTTTATCACACTTTTCTTTAATTTGTTCAAATACTTTCAGTTTCTCATGTAAAGGCTTCAAGGATTTCTGGAGCCCCTTTTTTTGCTCCTGTGCAAATTCTTGGATGGGTCTAAACCTGTGGTTGGTATGCATTTTTGAGTCTCTGCAGATAAGACACACCAGCAGCTGATGGTCCAGACAAAAGAGTTTGAATTTTTCTGAGTGCAGGCAACAGAGAGCCTCTGACTCCACAGAAACCCTCTGATCTCTCTCCATTTGAAATGCCTTACACGCCTTTGCTAATGCCAGGTTTCGAGGTGGGTCACTCCTCGATGATTTCCTTTTACAAAGAGGGCACTCATGTACTGTTTTATCACCCCACCATGTCTGCAGACAGCTTTTACAGAAGCTGTGGCTACAGGAGAGGACAACAGGATCTTTAAAAATATCCAAGCAGACAGTACAGGAGAGGTCCTCCTCAGACTGGAAAGCCATTATCTCACTGAAGCTGAAAACACGGCAGGCAGAAAGCACAATGCGACAGCAGTCATTCGTGGCTAATCTCACTCCTCCAGAAAGTTCCCGGAAGATCCCAGTCTCTTGTTTTTCCTTCTTAGAATCACAGATGGGATAGCAATTTAAAGTTGCAGTACTCACAGTATTTGCTGCTGTTGCTTTCCCCCCTCAGGAAGTCGTGTGTCTGATCTGAATGAGATAATCGTTCTCTCCCTCTCAGGGCGTGTCTCTTTCTCCCTACTGGATGAGCAACAACCGTTTCCAGGTATTTCTTAGGTGACGTTTTTCCAGGTAATGTGTGTCAGACATTAAGCCACTATGTCAGGGCACAGCACCTTAAATATAGTTTCTGTATTAGACAAGACCAACAAAAGAAGCTCCTCCCCTTTTTGGTAACAACTAAAATAGAAGTAGGTTAGGCACTTATTTCTGCTGCATTCAGGTAAGGTATGAAATGTAGCACCAACTTATAGTTTTATGCAATTCCAGGGACATTTGAAGAGAAAGACAAAGGATTTTTAAATGATAATTGGAGAATTCTGCAAACATGCTGTAGAAGTATAACTGCCAAAAAAAGAAGAGAAAATGAGCTGAGGCCTGTGCTTTGAAGCAGGATTCCTTGTTAGTCTTAACCCTGGCTTTTCTGTACTATGATGGTGGTTCACTTCTTACCATTGTAGAACACCACTGTAACTTGTGCTGTTGCTCTGGACCAGATTAGGTTTCACATTAGAGGTCAGCAGATATGAAATCACTGCGTATTTACCAATCAATTCTCCAGAAAATAGTGTCACCCTTCCTGAAGTTCCTTCAGACTTTTGTGGGGAGGGTAAGAGGGTTTAAAGTTTTTGCATTTCCCTGATAGGCATCAGTAATGAAGATAGATTCTTAAATCAAGGAATAAATTTGCATCTATTTTTTTTTGTTGGCAGCAAACAATTTTACAACAGTTTTATTTTTCTGTAAACATTAGTCTAATAGGCTATATGATCCTAAAACAGGACACATATGCTGTATTTCCTGGCCTCATATCAAATTTGCAAACAGATTAAGCCTATGTTTGAATTCAGTTACATATTTACTGTCAAACCTTAAACTGCAATGAGTCTGCAGCTGAGAGAATAAAACATGCTAGTTTAAGACTAGCTCCTCTTCTAGCGCTCTGCTTCACTGGGTTTATGATTCGTGGAGTACTACCAGACTCCATGCTGTGTATTTTACTTGTACCAGTTATGAAATATAAAGCTGCAAAAGTGAGTTGTCTGGATAATTATAGGCTGATTGCACTAGCCAGTATTTTATCTAATGTGCTAGAAAGAATCTTGTTTGACAGAGATAGTGTGTTCATCTCTTCCCTGGATAATCAGTTTGTCTCCAAAAGCACTGCACTGGGATGTGCATATATGCACTCAAAGAATAGGGCAAAAAATTAATCTGTCCTCATGTGTTTCATTGATGCCTCCAAAGCTTTTGATCGAGCGAACCACAGAAAACTTCTTGATAAATTGAAGCAACGGGGAGTTCCTCGATACATTGTGAGGATTCTGTCTTGCTGGTACACTCATTAGAAGATGCAGGTTAAATGGGGAATTTGGTGTTAGCAATGGTGTCAGACAGGGTGGGATTTTATCTCCAATTTTATTTAATTTATATGTTGATGATTTGTCCATACAGCTGAGAATGATGAATGATGATGATGACATATACAGACAATGTTGTAAGCTCTATGTGCAGGCAAATATTATTGCACGCAAATTCAGCTTTTGTTCACTTCCAGTTAAAGTGGCTTTGTTTAAAGCATATTGCACACTGCTATATACTTCCCCCTTGTGGTCATCCTACAAACAATGTAGCATGCAGAACCCGCATGCAGCAACTTCACACCTGATCAGATTTGCACACTGTTAGACCTCTGCTTTACCACCACATATTTCAAATACAACGAGGGTTTCTACAGACAAAAAACATGGCTGTGCCATGGGCTCCCCTGTGTCACCTGTTGTAGCCAACCTTTACATGGAAGAAGTGGAAAGAAAGGCTCTTAGCTCTTTTAAAGGGGGAGCACCCAGCCACTGGTACAGATATGTAGACAACACCTGGGTCAAAATCAAAACACAAGAAGTGGAATCCTTCACTGCGCACATTAACGCCGTGGATAAAAACATCAAGTTCACCAGGAAAGACACAAAGGACAACTGTTTGCCTTTCCTGGACTGCGCTGTGCACATTGAAGAGAACGGCAAACTCAACATCGAAGTTTACCGGAAGCCCACACACACGGACCAGTACCTCCGCTTTGACTCCCATCACCCTCTGGAACACAAACTTGGAGTAATTAGGACCCTACACCACCGGGCAGAACATGTTCCCTCTAAGCCTGAAGGTAAAAAGAAGGAACACACACATGTAAAGGAAGCACTCAAAACGTGCGGCTATCCTAATTGGGCATTTATAAAGTCAGCAAAGATGCACAGAAAAGAAGATCAGACACCAGCGAGGGAGGATAAGAAAGACAGACGCAACAACATTGTCATCCCTCATGTAGCCGGTGTATCAGGCTACATAAAACTCAGGAGAGTTTTCTCCAAGCACGACATCCCAGTGCATTTCAAACCCAGCAACACACTCAGACAGAAACGGGTTCATCCCAAAGACAAAACTCCTAAACACAAACTTAACAATATAGTGTATGCTGTACAGTGCAGCGAAGAATGCCCAGACCTCTACATTGGAGAGACCAAACAGCCACTTCACAAGCGCATGGCACAACACAGAAGAGCCACCTCCACAGGACAAGACTCGGCTGTCCATCTACATCAAAAAGACAAAGGACACTCTTTTGAGGATGCCAATGTTCACATTTTGGACAGAGAGGACAGATGGTTTGAAAGAGGAGTGAAAGAAGCCATTTATGTCCATTGTGAGCGACCATCTTTGAACAGAGGCGGGGGTTTACGACACCAACTGTCTGCCATCTCTAATCCAGTTTTGGGATCCCTTCCCAAACGCCTTAACACTCACTCACATCCTGGGCCATCTGACCTCAGGAAATCACATGATAGGGTGGGGATAGGTTTCACAATGAGCTCACCCGAAATTGTGACCCACACCTGTTTTCACACCTTGGCTCATGTGATTAGGTAGAGGATCATCAGGGGGTCCTTTTGGGGGTAGCCCCACGGGGTTTAAATCTGGGACTCTCCGCCATTTGACCTTAGAACTGAAGAAGCTTCTCGGATGAGAGGTGAAACGTCTTCAAGCAACTTAAAGAAGTCCAGACGCTTTTCTTTCCAAGCTCCTTAGACTACGATGACCTGGATGACTGAGAACCTTCACAGACACGCAGAACCTGCATGTTGCATATAATGATGCAATGAGAATCCTTCGTAGGATACCTAGAGGCGGTAGTGCCAGTCAGACGTTTGTAGCTGTGGGTGTTTGGATTTTTAAAGCACGTTTAAGAAATCTGATGTTCACTTTTAGGGAACAACTGGATGGCTCTAGTAACAGTATAATTTTAGCACTCACAGATCCGGCGGTGAGTGGTTCCAGTTACTCATCTAGTCTGAGGAAGCACTGGCTGAAGTGTTTGTGTATTTATTGATTTCTTCTAAGTAATTGTGTATTTTATGTATATTATGGTTTTATATTTTTACAAATATTTAATATTTTTTTATTAAGGTTTATATGTTGTGTTTTGTCTTGTTTCTTTTTCTTTTTTTTTTTGGACTATGGACATAAAGTCTGTCAATAAAAATTGAATTGGAAAAACTAGAAATTGAAACTGTCAGCAGCAGTGGTGTGACAGAAGAGGGTGCTAGAGACAGGATTAGATGATCTTCTGTGAGGATCCCTAAAAAGAGCAGTCCAAAGAAGAAGAAGTAATCTCTTCGCCCGAATTTTACTTCACCTTCTTGGATTTTCTGTTTGGATATTTTATCACTGGAATGCACAGATTCTTCAAAAGTTGAATAAAAGATAAGCGTATGAATGGAAAACTATTGGTTGATAAAAAAAATAAAAAAATAAAACACAATGAAGCTCCTTAAAACAGGTACAGATATTTATTTACAGTTAAACTTGCTACCATTGCTTTAGCGAAGAAGCTTGTGTTGCTTATAATGATATAACATGAGATATAAGAAATGTTCCTGCCACAACCACAAGTCTGGTTTGTCTTCAGACTGCTATTCATGACAATATTTATGTAAGTGTGTAACATCAGCCCCACCACATACACACACTTGTCAAGACATACAGTATGCATGAGAGATTATAAGAAACACACACCATAGAATAAATACATAAATGGAAATTACAGAACACAGAACCGTAGAGGGTGCAAACTCATAAGCTAATGCTACATACTTAGTGCATAGCATTGGCTGAGTGGTGTTGTGGTGGAGCCTGACATACACCCCACCACAACACCACGCTGACCTGGATAAGTGGAAGAAAATGGATGGATGGACAATTGTAAAGCTACTTGAACCACAAAGTGTTTAAAACATCAGCAGACTAATACATGATCAGTATATTCAGTATTAGCCAACACTGATTTTTGTGGTGAAATGAGACGCCATCCCTTTATTGTATCAAATGAATATTGAGCCACTGTAAAACTAACACAAACAAATATTGAAAACATTTTATAATGAAAAATCCTTTGATTTTACAACAAAAACAAAACAAAAGCATTTGCTATAGCCCAACTTTTTGTTTTAAAAATTGCCAATGCTACCAGACATGCACGTTGCAATTTAGCTGCTATCTAAAATGCCAGTGGACCAGAAGGCATACATACCAAAATCCAAATAAGCTAGTCGCTTACATTAGCCTACATTGGATACAATATTACTGAAAGAAATATATTTACATGATGTGAATTTTATTGTGAAATGTCCATTATAGTAATTGACATCATATTCAACTCAGACGTTTTTTTCTTTCCCAGCCTAACATACCATACAAAATGATCTGACCTATTCAAACTCAGTACAAAATCTTAAGCATGTGTCATTTAAGTAACATTAGCATGGTTTCAATATTAGCTTCATCAGAAGTCAAGAACAAAGAAAAGATCTTTGAACAAATAAAATGACCTATAGTATTTGATAATCCCATCATTTTCATTGATTAAGCAGTTTTACTGTTGCAGAAACCTTCAGCGGAAGTATTTTTAGCTGGTGTTCTTTCTTATTGATGAAGTATGGAAACAGCTTCTCCGTGAAAGTGTGTATGAAGGTGTGTATGTGTGTGTCAGTATCGAGATCAGAGAATGACAGCTTTCCTTCGTCCCAGTTCAGATGAACTCTGATCCGCTGGAACTCCTTCAGTGGGTGAATAAAGGTGTGTTGTGATGGGGAGCATGCTGCATATTTATCTTCAATTAGCCCCATTATCCGCCAAAGTCCAGATTTTATTTCACTTTTTCTTTGTACAGACTCTGCTGCTACACCCAAGACCCAGCCTGTAGAGTCTCTAACCTCAACATCCCAGCTGTGGGTGCCTGAGTCAAAGCCCTCAGAGCCCAGGACAATGCAATAGCAGCCAAACCTCTCCGGATTGTCAGGAAGCTGATGCCCCTCTACAGATCTTACGGCAGTCAGATCTTCTGATAGGATGAGCTCTGGATGAGCTGTGTTTGGATCCAGAATCACAGGAAAGTAGGAGACTATCGCCTTCATCTCATTCCAGATGTTGTAGGTTAGGTTGCCCAGGTGTTTGGCCATATCTATCAGAGCTCCTGTGGCCAGCTCTGGATCATCCAACAGAGGGCACTGCTGGATTAATTCCACTGCAGCTTTGTAGTTCTGCAGGAACGAGACATCTTCAGCTCTCAGCTCCTCTTCCGTGGCTCTGATTATTTCTGAAAGAGCGGCTATCTCTCTGCTCAGACCTTCAATCTTCCCCTTCATCATTTGACTCTTCTGCTCCTCTTCCTCTTTTAAAGCAGTGGTTCTGGCCTCCTCTTCATCTTGTAGAAACTGATGCAACTTCTTAAACTCCTCCTTAATTTGTTTCTCTGCCTGCTGGGCCTGGACCCTAATGTGTTCTGCTGCTTCATCAAACTTTTCTTTAACTTCTTCAAACACTTTCAGTTTCTCCTGTAAAGGTTTCAAGGATTCCTTGAGATCCTTTCTGTGATCTTCTGCAGCTTCATTAACGGGTCTGAAGCTGTGGCCGAGATGTATTTTTGAATCTCGACAGACGAGGCACGCTGGCTGCTGATGATTCAAACAGAAGACTCTCAGTTTCTCATGGTGCAGACTGCAAACAGTTTCAGAGAATGCAGAAGCATTTTGATCTTTCTTTTGTAAGAAGGCCTCACACAGGTTCTTTAAGGCTGAACTAACCGGTGGCTCACCCAGCAAAGGTCTTTCCTTACAAACCGGACACTCTTTTATGGGTTTGTCTCTCCACCAGGTCTCCACACAGGTTTTACAGAAGCTGTGGCTGCATGCCAGGACGACAGGAATATCAAAGATGTCGTGGCAGACAGGACAGGACAGGTCCTTCTCTGGATTATAAGCCATTCTCTCGTTCTCAGTTGAAAGTAAAAAGCTACAGCGCAGAGCATGAAAGGAGGAAGTTCAACTTCACTTTCTCTTTGCTTGTTTTTCTTCAGTCAAAGGCAGGTTGAAATGCAGGATTACGATGCTGTGTTACGTTTACTTCTGCTGTGAAGAATTATTTCCCCTTTCCTCTCAGTTGGAGCCTCTCTTCCAGTGAACAATAGCTGAGAGAAATACATTTCCTGTGTTTTTTGGTCCTGCGGTTAGAGGTGGAGCTTCGCCCACCCATCAGTGGGTTTCACTTAAAGGAGCCTGTCACACTGCTTGGAGACTGCCACATAATGTAAGCAAATATGTCATGGTAGAGTAATAGGATGAGCTCTGTCTTGCGAATTCAAACCTGATTCCTTTACCTTGTCATTACCATGTTTAGTCTTGTTTTTCCATGACAATCCTTTTAAAGGCTACCAAAGTACAATGACTCCTTCTGCTATTATGAATACATAACTGTTTTTGTTTTTTTGTTTTTTGTTTTTTAATGAAAGCTTTTAATGAACAATGTTAAATAGAGGTGGAACAAACTGTGGCTCATGAAAGAGGCCAAGATGTAGGAAATTAAGGTAAAAAGTGCAAGAAAAGCAAATGTCAAAGTCAAGTAAAGAAAAAAACAAAGGAGTCCAGCAGGAATTATAAATATCTCAGTGTGAACTTACACAGAGCAGTAAAAATACAAATATACAAATCCATTTGATTAAATTTACTTATCAAATTCAGGATTGTGGGAAAAGAGGCAGGGTATGCTCTGGCTTGGTTGTAATCACAGGGCCAACACAAAGAGGCAGATAATCACTCACAGTCACATTCACATGGCTAATTTAGAATGAATTTCTTAGGGAGGAAGGAAGTAAGCCAGAGTACCCAATAAAAATCCATGCAGCCAGAGGGAGAACCACACATGATTGGTGCAAACCACCGACAAGTCTCCAAACGAAATGACCCAAGAACACATTTGAACCTGCTCTCTAACTGACGTATTACAGCAAAAAAAGATTTGGTAAGTGCTCCTTTAGGTTAGTAGGAAAAAACCTGGACAAGTTTAAGGAGAGGAGATTATTTGGGTTGCAGTTAATACTTTGTTGGCGTTAGTGCACCTTGGTCATCATTGAGCAGGTGTCTGAAACAGGAAATGAGTGCTGGTCTTTCTGTCATGGTCCATGGTCCATTTTGATATAGTTTCTTTTTGCGTCTTGTTTTGAGTTTACCACCACTGCTGGGTGGAAAAATGCATTTAACCCATTCACACAGTGAGGCAGTGGGCAGCCACCAATGCAGCGCCTGGGGAGCAGTGTGTAGGGACGGTACGTTGCTCATGGGTGCCTCAGGGTAGGCGTTCAGTGGATTCGAACCCCTGACCTTCTCCCAGTTTTTACCAAAACATCATCAGGATTGAGGTTGCTTGCTTTGTTGCAGCTGTTATCAGCTGCAATCTCTTCTGATCGGGTGTCTAAATAGGAGCACAAAAGCAAACCAGTCCGACAACATTTTTTTGTGCTCGGTTAAACCACAACTTGGAAACAATAAGTGGCGCCAGGGCGGGAACACTGACAGTTAATATCCACCTTGATGTGTGTGGACTCATACCCAGGCCTGTGAACAACTGTTCATTCTTTATTTTGTTTATTAGTTTTCCACCATTAGCTGAGTCTGAGCCTCTCCAGATCTCCTTCTCCCCGCCACACACTCCAGCGTTTCGAAGGATTCCCCAAGTCAGCTGATGCATTCTGCAGAGCGTGTCCTCAGTCTGCTCCACTTGGACATGCCCAAAACATCTAGGAGGCGTGCAGGCTAGTCGAGTACCCAAAACCAACTCTGCTCAGAGGCAGTCCTGAAAGGATGAGCACCTCACCCTATCACAACAAGACACCTGCCTCATTTTTTTCTGTTCTTACATACCTAACTTTTTTTTTTTTACTTAGAGGTTTTCTAACTTGTCCTTGTGTACTTAAAGTATTACGTTTATACCAAAAGAAAAACTGAATGCAGCCTTTGTCAGAATAGATTTATAAATGGAACGAACCAAAGTGAAAGAAACACTACAGTAACAAAGTTAAAAATCAAAATAGTTATATAAATTGAATGAGGAAACACATATTAGGCATAGTTTAATAAATGTAGTTAAAAAGACACAACAAGCACAGTAAATGTCAGGTGCAAGTATCAGTCACAGTACAGATGATTCTCTAGACTGTTGTTGAGCTGACGCATCAACTACTTCTTGTATGTGTAGCTTTGCATGATTCAGTTAAAAATAATCCATATTTATTTTGTGCTAAGCCTCGGTGCTGCTCCTCTGTTCATCCCCTGTCTGAATCAACTTATTTCAACTTCTCTTCTGATTGGCTGTACCTTGCAAATGGAAGGTTTGAGCATATTAGGAGTATCATCTCTGATTAATGTCATGTTGATGAAAGGGTAGAAAGTGTTTAGGTCGTAAACATTCTTTGTACATGACCTGAAGTCTTTATTTAAAACCATATATGACGGCTTAGATCCTTTAATTCTAATGGTTAAAACTCCCTACAGCTGATGGTTAAACTGAAGAAGCTGCTTCTATAAGGAGCATATCTGGCAGGAAAAGGCATCACTGGAGACTCACAACTGCTGCATGGAGTCAGTGTCACACCCACTGTGTTTTGACTTCTAGTAAACCCTTTAATTTCCTTTTACATTTGTTGGCTGGTACGTGGGTTAGGAAAAAGTGTATATGAGTCACTGATAGAGTATTAAAGGTGCAGTATTGATGTAAAGCTGCAGGTATAGACTCAGCTCAACGGAGACGGGGCTTTGGAAAGCAGTGCTGTAAAGACAGAGACTGAACCTGTTAGAACAGGTTTCCTGTCTTCGTTCCTCACACTAATGTGAGGGATCTCAGTGGGGAGGATTTTGAGAAGAGCTTACTGATTTGTTAAAATACGTCAGCAGCAGCAAAAAAAAAAAACTCCAAAATGTTTAATGTTGTTTAAAAAGGTCCTCAAATAAGAAAAACAAATGCAATAGAAAAATTAAAATCAAAAGATACATTTCGACTAAAAATAAAAATAAACACAGAAAAAAATCATCTGATTTAATCAAACACTAATTTAAAAACAGGTTAAAATGTATTCATGTATTTTGGAGTCTGAACAAGATTTTCTTTTACTTATTTCAGGTTAATCTTTCATACTTGATTTCATTAATTATTTTATGTATTTATGTCCATCCTTTTAGTTTCTCCATAAAGGTGAATACACCTGTTGTACAATTCAAACAACTATCAAACATTTAAATTGTCCCGTGGGGAAAAAACATGGGTTATTTGCAGAAAATATGAACTTTGTAGTGTTTCATGAAGGCCTCAGCCGATTGGGAAAGCTGCCCAGAGTGGGTTTATTCAGCCTCACCTCTGGTGCAGGTGCTCACCTCTCCATTTTAAATACATGTAGACATTGAGGGTTCTCAGGAGGGGCCGTGCTGAGGCCAGCTGCTATCTGACAGAGGGTCATTGGTACCATGCCCCTTGTATGGGGTCTTCATAACCCCATTCTCTGTGCGCCATTTGGGGCAGGGTGCGGGAGAAGGAGCTGGCCGTCTGGTTGGGGTCTGGGCTGTTGGGCCTTCCTGCTGCTGCAGGACTGGGGGCAGTCTGCTTGTGTCCACCCCAGGGTAAATGGAACCATTTCCTGGGTCTGGGGGTGGATTGCTCTTCTGGGGGTCCCTGGACCTTGGGGTACAGAGTATTTTTGGGGAGTATGGTTCAAGGTTCAAGGTTCAAGGTTCTTTATTTGTCACATGCATAGTTATACAAGTATAACACACAGTGAAATGTAGCCTGACACGCTCCTCGACATGTGCAAAAAATTTGGGGGGGGGGTGTAGAGGAAAAACATTATATATATATATATATATATATATATAGATAGATAGATAGATAGATAGATAGATAGATAGATAGATAGATATATAGATATATATATATAGATATATATAGATATATACATTGGGTGAATGTGCAGCAGTAGCAGCAAGCAGGTGAATTCTGCACATTAATGTGAATAGACATCTGACTATTTTACAGGATAGACAATATAAACATATTTAAAATTAAAGGAATTGAAATGTACATTGTGCCTTGGTTTAGTGTCTGGAAGAGTCCTGTCTCAGTCAATTATAGATGATGTGAGAGGGCGGGTGTGTGTGTTTAGGGCACGGATGGCTTAGGGATAGAAGCTCCTCTTGAGTCTCTCGGTCCTTGCCCGGAAGATGCGGAACCTTCTACCAGATTGCAGAAGTTGGAACAGTTTGTTGCCAGGATGGGACGGGTCCTTCAGTATCTGCGCTGCTCTAGTCCGGCATCTCCTGGTGTAGGTGTCCTGAAGCGGGGGGAGAGCAATCCTGCAGCAGCGTTCTGCTGTATGGATCACTCTCTGGAGAGCTTTTTGGTCCTTCACACAGCTGTTCCCAAACCACGATGTCATGTTCTGTGTGAGGATGCTCTCCACAGCGCCTTTATAGAAAATCCTGAGGATCTTTGGAGAGACCCTGAACTTCTTCAGTTGTCGTAGGTGATACAGGCGCTGCCTAGCCTTTTTGGTCTGGACCTGAATGTGGGCAGCCCATGTCAGGTCTGAGGAGATGTGGACACCAAGATACTTGAAGGACTGCACCCTCTCCACTGGAGCTCCATTGATGATAATGGGCTTGTAGTCTCTGTGCTGACCCCTTCTGAAGTCCACCACCAGCTCCTTGGTCTTGCTGACGTTCAGCTGGAGGTGGTTGTCCTGGCACCACGATGCCAGATTCTTCACTTCATCCATGCAGGCCGTCTCATCGTTGTTGGAGATGGCACCCAACACCACTGTGTCGTCAGCAAACTTCACAATGGTGTTGGAGCCATGGGTGGCCACACAGTCTGAAGTGTAGAGGGAGTAGAGCAGTGGCGAGAGGACACATCCCTGAGGTGCTCCTGTGTTGATGGTGATGCTGTTGGAGAAGCACCTGCCCACCCTCACCACCTGAGTTCTGCCAGTGAGGAAGTCCAACACCCATGCACACAGACGGCTGTTAAGTCCCAGATCCCTCAGCTTTGTGAACAGTCTGCAGGGCACTATTGTGTTAAACGCTGAACTGTAATCAACAAACAGCATTCGCACATAGTTACCCTGTTTCTTGTCCACATGGCTGAGAGTGGTGTGTAGGACGTGGGCGATGGCATCCTCTGTGGATCTGTTGGATCTGTAGGCGAACTGCAGCGGATCTGTGGTGTCTGGGATGGAGGAGGAGACGATGTTCTTCAGCAGCCTCTCAAACACCTTCATTACTACCGAGGTCAGTGCAACTGGCCGGTAATCGTTCAGGGATGAGGGTTTGCTGTTCTTGGGCACAGGGATGATGGTGGTATGAGTGTGTGTGCAGTGTTTAGTTCTGTGTGCCTCCATGTTGGATGAGTATAACTGAGCCTAACATGGTTCCCAGTTAAATACCTTCTTCAGGAACAAAAGGCAGTACACAGCTGTTTCACACTCCCTTGCTACCTCCCAGAGTCCTCAAAGAGACAAAGGTTTCTTTCTGTGGAGCTGTCTGCTTCCCCCAACGTCCTTACTAGACCCCACCATTTATCTTACTGTATGAGTGTGAGATATGTTAAAATCCAGTGGCATCAAGGCATTATAGGATAAAATAATGTGATTAATACATAAGTAAAAGAAATTCCTATACAATGCCTATCTTCCCCAACTACGCTCGCTGCAAGTGGCTGATGCTCCCACCCGTTGGTGGTTCTCAGTGTCCGGGGCTGGGTGCTCGGGTAGATCGAATAAACTATGACAATCAAGTGGACCAGTATGGCAAAAGCAATAATGGTCCACTTGGAAAAATGGGAATATCTGTTGGGAATTTTTCTTGGCCTTCAGACAATAATTCTGATTGCTATGCTTGTCCTCTTTTTGCAGCCATCATGAAAATAGCATCTTTTAACATTAAGAAGTTTGGAAAGAAGAAAGTGTCAGACCCTGATGTCCTCGAAATCCTGACTAAGGTAATAACCAGTATAAAAGCCCACACATACTTTCACCTTACAAAACTGTAAATGACCTGCAGGTCTGGCTCCTGCTTTCATTAAAATGTCTAATCATGTGACAAAATAGTAAGCTTTGCCTTTTTGTCACGGAAAGAAGACAGAGGGCGATAACAATGTAGAAAAGTAGTCCAGCCCTCCTACCAATTATTAAGTATTTAAGTAATTAAGTATTATATAAAAACTTTCTATTAAATAGCTGAGTTGCAAAGTGGTAAAATAAGTATCAGGACTCACTGTTTAAGTAAAAATGTAATCCTATATATGCATCTGAAAATATACTGAAATACATGGAGTAAGTTGTATTTTGACTTGTGGTTTCTTGCTGTATCATTGAATCACTGGTTTTTACTTTACTTTTATTCTGGTGATGAGGTTACATTTCCAATTCTTTGCTTAAACCCATGTTTTATTATTGTTATTGTATTAGATCTGTTTCATATTTAGTCAAAAAGCCACTGTACAGGTCAGCCGCCCTGAGTGTCGGCTGTTTAGGAACCACAATAGCAAACACACAATCAGGGTGTGTTAATTTAAACGTGGATCCACTGGCCTGTTGTCCCTTCAAGTAACCATGCTCAGTGGCAGCTTGCCCTTCATTCACAGAACCACCATTACCTCTATAACCACACAATTTAAGTCACTCAGCATTTCTCTGATTGTTCCCATCTCTGTCTTTTTTTGATACCTCTTCAGCTTTATTGTTGCAACTCAGAATATTTACATAAGTATTTTTTTTTAAAACATAGAAAAATGTCAGTTTATATTTTACATATCTGGAAGAGCTAAATCTTAACTGAACAATTATCTTTAAGGTAGTAACGCATCTGATCAGTTCAGCTTTTTTTTTCTCTCTGTTTCAAAGATTGTGTCTCGATATGACATCATTCTGATCCTGGAGGTGGTGGACACCAGCGAAGAGTCCATAGAAATCTTCATGAAAGAACTCAACAAGTAAGGAAATGCTTTGTTTCCAGCATCATCGCTGTTATTATCATTTAGGGTGCTCGTGTTTAAGCATGATGATGGTGGCCCAAAGAATAACAATTTTCTCATGGTAACCAAAAATGATTACGATTTTTAAGGATTATTACATTAAAGAATATTTACACAGTTACTTCTGAAGTTATTTGTGTATTATAAACACAATGGTACATTTCCTTTTTTAAATAGCACACTTATTGGCAGCATCTGTATAATAGTATTATGCAATAATATTATTATCAGGAATTCTTTCGGCTTCAATAATCATGTATTAAAGTCTGATAGCGTGACAGCTGTAATGACAACACTAAAAACTGCTGATGTTAACAATTTATGTTGTTGGTCATGTTCATCTTATTGTCAGGCAAACTGTAATTTGGAAATAAAGTTTGAATGAATGTAAAAAATTCAACTTTGACCTGCTTTTTGTGTTAAATGAAAAGGTAATGTTTCACTAAAGCGTTACACATTCATCCTGAACCAATTCTTTTCAGAGAATCAGAGGACATAACATGATTTAATGGACCAAAATTAAAGAATTATACAAAATTTCTCTCAACTTATATCTTCTCAGAGTCCACGAGGGATACACCTATAACATCAGTGATCGTCTGGGCAGTACACGCTACAAGGAGCAGTTCATGTTCATCTACAAGTGAGAGTTCACTGACAACACACATCCTGTTCATTTGCAGCTTCAAATTTTTATTCTTGAACTCACTAGAGCAGCTTTGCATGCTTCACAGTTCTGCCGGGCCTTGGTGCAGTGCTCCTTAAAGCCCTCTTGCTTTAAGCAAACTTTCTTCAGATTGGCTTGTCCATGCAAACGGAAGCAGGTGGACAGTGCTTCATTGCTCAGAGCCAGAGTTGAGATGACTATATTATTAACATCCACACTGTGTGTGTGTGTGTGTGTGTGTGTGTGTGTGTGTGTGTGTGTGTGTGTGTGTGTGTGTGTGTGTGTGTGTGTGTGTGTGTAGAAGTGATGTGGTTACGTTGGTGAACCATGAGCAGTTTAATGAAGAGGCAACAACAGGAAAAGATGTTATTAACAGAGACCCCTACATCCTGAAATTAAGATGCAGCAATACAGGTAGGATATGTTTGTCATGGAAACAAATGCAAGGATCAACAGGGAGTTAAGCTTGTGTGTAATCAGTGTAACAGCTCACTTTAAAGCTGATACTATGTCTTCTGTGGCCTTCCTGTTGGCTGCACCTTTATTAACCTGGATGTACAGATGAGTCTCTGGTCCAGGTTTTTTTTTTTAAAGCTGTGATAATCTAAATCTGTTTACACATTATGGGGAAGTGTGTATTTGTATGGAGAGAAAATCAGCTGGTTTTAACTTTAGGGTAATTAAGTAATATATAATTATTTCATAAATGTTATTAAAAGGCAATCAATAATTTGAACTAATTTACACTAATGTAAATAATCAGTAAGACTTGAATGTAGTCCTGCCCCCTGTGTACAGTCCCAGATACACTCAAGCACAAATTCACAACCAGGTCCTCAGGTGTCTAGCCGAGAAAGTTGAGTGCAAAAGGAAATCCATCAACGCTCAACCTTTCACGAACCAAGAGGAGCATCAGTTTTCATCAACATTTGTCCGGGAGGGAGACAAGCCGAGGACAAGCCCCTCAGCCCAGGACCTGGGCCTGCTGAAGGCTGCCAGGGATTGGCAGATGCAAGTGGACTTGGATCAGAGGCTAATTTTTCCCACAGAGATCGTAACAACTACTCTGCGACCAGACCTCGTCCTTTGGTCTAACTCTCAAAAACATGCGTACATCATTGAGCTGACGGTACCATGGGAGGAAGCAATTGAGGAAGCATTTGAGCGGAAGAAGCTGCGCTATGCCAACTTGGCAGTTGAGGCAGAGGACACAGGCTGGAAGATCAAGGTGCACCAGGTGGAAGTGGGGTGCAGGGGCTGTGTTGCCAGTACAACAGCCAAACTGCTTAGAGAGATTGGGATCAGAGGACACTGCTGAGAGGACCAGTCACTGGCTATGCCTAAAAAGGGCTGACATCACTTGGGCAGTTAAGGCAGTCAGCTAACTGCGAGAGAAAATAAATATTCTCCTCTTCTCCCCTCTGCTCTTCTTCCCTTTTCTGGGAGGCAGTGGGGAGGTAGAGCGTACAGCCCAATCCAGCGGGGAGGTGTGGAAAGCCAGCCCCAGCCCCCCTTCCAGCTCTCTTCTCTGCTCTCTCCTATCTTGTCCCTCTTGTCTTACTTCTCTCTATCACCTTGTCTATCCCTTTGAAGAAGTGAGGCTCCATAAATGCTAAAGAGGTAAGTATTATTTCTCAGTTGCAGTGAATAGACAGAAAATAAACTGTAGAAAACTAAACAGAAGAAAGAAGAGAAATAACATAAACCAGTGACACACTCCAGGGCCTGATCAACCCTGGCAGGGCCTCCTTCAATGAGGGTGTTTAGTGATAATGGCCAAAACACCCGATGAATCCAAGGTCCACAATTGACAATGTGTCCCAAATTTTTATATGATAATCTAGATCAGATCTCTAATTCCTAAACCTAACCAAGGAAGAAAAAATGGCAGATTAGCCTGGGTAAAAGACCGAAAGTTGAGGCACACAACGATGTTTGCTGCTGGTAAAGTTTCTGGGCTGCCTTTCCTCATAACAGAGATCCCTCAAGAGTCTCTCCATTTAAAGCAATGCATTATCAGGGACTGTAACATCTAGCCCTTTTACTGAGTCATGGATGTAAACTGTGTGTATTTGTGTTCTCGCTGTAGTTGTGGAGGACCTGGTTATGATCCCAGTTCACACCAAACCAACGGACTCTGTGGAGGAGCTCGATGAACTATACGATGTCATCAAGATTATTAAGACGAAATGGAATACTGATGTAAGGAGAAGTTAGAGAGTGTCTAAAGCTTTGTAGCTTGGGTTGGTTGCACAACAGAGAAAGCAGGAATTCATACTTTCGTGAAAATTTGTAGATTTTGACAGAGTTGTGTAGTAATGCGGACGCTGCACCGGTCCGTCGTGGTGAAGAGGGAGCTGAGTGTAAAAGCGAAGCTCTCAATTTACCGGTCGATCTACGTCCCTACCCTCACCTATGGCCACGAGCTGTGGGTAGTGACCGAAAGAACGAGATCGCGGATACAAGCGGCAGAAATGAGCTTCCTCCGAAGGGTGGCTGGTCTCTCCCTTAGAGATAGGGTGAGAAGTTCGGCCATCCGGGAGGGGCTCAGAGTAGAGCAGCTGCTGCTCCACATCGAAAGGAGCCAGCTGAGGTGGTTCGGGCATCTGACAAGGATGCCCCCTGGGCGCCTCCTGGGTGAGGTGTTCCAGGCATGTCCCACCGGGAGGAGGCCCCGGGGCAGACCCAGGACACGCTGGAGAGATTATATCTCTCGGCTGGCCTGGGAACGCCTTGGTATTCCCCCGGATAAGCTGGAGGAGGTGGCTGGGGAGAGGGAGGTCTGGGCCTCTTTGCTTAGGCTGCTGCCCCCGCGACCCGACCCCGGACAAAGCGGATGAAGATGGATGGATGGATGGATGGATGTGTAGTAAAAGGCGTATGAACCAATCCAACCACTAAACTGGGAAAACAAAACAAATATATATTGAGGAGCTAAAGCAAAACACTCAAATGCAAATATTTCATGTCTGTGCTGCAGAACATTATGATCTTGGGTGACTTCAATGCAGACGGCTCGTACGTTTCCAACCGTGACATGAAGACCATTCGCATTCGTGAAGACGAGAACTTCCACTGGCTGATTGGAGATAACGTCGACACTACAACAAGCACCAAGAACACCAACACCTATGACAGGTAATGCATAGCAGGTGCTGGCTGCAGCTTTATTTTGAATCGACAGACGTGAGACTGGTATCGATCTGTTCGTCAGCAAGAAAATAAACACATCACGCTGTTTCTTCAAATTATCTGAAATAAGGAGGAGTAGATTCTTTTGTTTTGCCACATTAAAATGGAGTGGTGCTAAATGTTCTTGCTTTTTTCTAATTATGTATTTAAATTTGGTATTATGGGTTTTTAAAATAAGCCTTTTTCCCTATCTGTGTTAAGGATCGTGGTCTATGGAGATGACATGCTTAATGCTGTGGAACCAGAATCTGCAAAAGCCTTCAACTTCAAGGAGGAGTTTAATCTCGATGATGAGCAGGTCTGTTTTGATTAATGGTTTTCACCAAATGAATTACTCTTATATTCTCTGCCTCATTTGCAATATCACACGTAGAATATGATTAGTCAGAAGGCTTTTAGACACTAAATTATAAGGCAGATAATTGTGTTTTTGTCACATCACTCAGTCTGTTTAAAGATCACTGAAATAGCTGGACATGAAAAACAGAACTCGGTGTGTAAAAGCTGGCATGGTTGCTTAAAGACGGTACCAAAGTACAGCTGCGGTATGGTGTTATGGCTTTAATTAAAATTCCTAAGAGGCCGTCAATCAATGGCCACAAATATGTTGAAAATCAGCAAGCTTTCAACTTGTCTTTATAGGGGGAGAAAAAAAGAGAGAGTTCAGTGACGTCGGACCTTTATTCTTACAAACAAAACTTTAGGGTAAATTATTAACAGTGTTACAGTCACTCTTTTCAAGTGTCCTTGGTAACTCTATGACCTGGGTTTGACAAAGACTCTACCCTTGGCCTGTCAGCTCATTGTCTTTGAAAATGTAAACCACTGCAGTATGGAAAGTATCCATACTGTCATTATGACAGTATGGATACTTTCCATACTGTCTGTCATGTTTGCGGCTGTGTGCAGGCAGGATGAGGACCCAAACGCAAGCTCACGGAGGCAGGAATGAACTCAAAAACACAGCTTTATTGCTGGAGAGAAAAGAGAGACAGCCTGAGGAGAGCACAGACATAACAGGCTGGGGAAAACATGGAATAAAACACAAGGAGGGGAAACGAGGGCTCACAGATACACAGAGGGGCACACGGGGGGTAATCAAATAAGGAACATCTTAACAGAACAACCTAGAAACCACGGCATACATAAAGAACAAAACCCAAAACACATGAAAACTAAGAATGCTGGGCCAACATGGCCCAGGATCATGTCACTGTCATTAGGTTTTGCCTCTTCAGGCTGAACCTGCACACCAGGTGCACAGCATCAAGCTCTCACCCCAGACCTAACCTTGTCCCAGGAGGGTAAACTGGTCCCTTGAGTGTGTCCTCATAGGGTTTTGTGAAACACTCTCTTGGCCCCTCACCCAACACCATTTTGCTTTTGTAAGACCCTAGCAACCCCAGACAACATACCCCATGCACAAACCGCTGATTCATGGGGACATTCAGCTAGACCTCGATATTTGTTCAAAAACTATTAATCAGTACATTTTGTTTCTTTTGCAGGCTCTGAAAGTGAGTGACCATTATCCAGTGGAGGTTGAGTTGAAGTCCATAGTTGAGACAGATGAAAGAAACGGTAAGCAGGATATTTATGCATATCCAAGGCTTATGTACCATAATACTACAAGACCTGTTAAAATTGTGAAGTCAGTTTTTCATTCTTATTAAGAAATGTTTTTTTTAATCTTTCCCAAAAATGTAAAAAATAAAACTTACACACGTTTTAGACATTTGTTAGAAAGATATGCTTACGTTGAATATATGCAGATCATGTTCAGAGAGTGAGTTCAAAATCAACTAGATGCAGAATTTGTTTTTTCCTGACATGTTCAAAGTGTGATATGAACTTTCTGCTCAAAGAAAATATTTATACATGCAAACATGTTTAAAATTAATTAATTAGAACAAATTAATTACAGCCAAAAAGCTGAAAGGACCAACCCCCGCCTTCGCATTCTTTGTTGAGGACTTCGATAAGGAGCACAAGAAGAAGCACCCAGGAGCCAAAGTAATATTAACAGAGGTTTCCAAACTGTGCTCAGAAAAATGGAAGTCCATGTCACCTGAGGAGAAGGCAAAGTTCAAAGAGATGGCCAAGAATGACAAGCGCCGGTATGACCAGGAGATGAAGTCCTATGTACCACCTGCAGGTGCCAAGAAGGGCAAGAAGAAGAAGAAGGACCCCAACGCGCCCAAAAAGCCACCTTCTGCTTTCTTGATCTTCACCTCTGAACACCGTGAAAAGATCAAGGTGGATAACCCGGGGATCTCCATCACTGACATCGCCAAGAAGTCTGGTGAGATGTGGAAAAAGATGAGTACCACAGAAAAGACCCCCTATGAGGCCAAGTACGCCAAACTGAAGGAAAAATATGAGATGGAAGTGGCTGCCTACAGAGCCAAAGGCGCCAAGAATGTGGAACCAGCTGACGACGATGATGAGGATGAAGAGGATGAGGATGAAGATGATGATGACGAGGATGAAAATGATATTGACGGGAAGATGGCTAAGTTGTTTCTGGTTTGAGCATGTGAAGTTTGTGATGCGTTTGTTTGTTTATGTTTGTTTTTGTTTTGGGTTGGACGAGTTCAGCAGTATAACCTGCTGTCCCTGTCGGTTGACCTCATTTGAGCTGTACTCTTTTTCTAATTCAGGGTGTTAGATTTATATTGTTTATTGTCATTTATGCTTAGAAATATTTAACCATATATGCTTAGCGGTGTATAAACGATTGTGTAGTGATAGGATGTGTGATCTTTGGCAGTCTGCATAGGCTTGGTGTGCATTCCAGAGTGTTCTGGCATTCACACCCACATTCTGGGAGCATGGGAGAGGTCATACCTTCTCTTATTGTTTTATGGTAGGATAAACTGTCTATATCTGTTCTAGTCTAAGTGCCTTTTGTTTAGATGAACTGCTGGACTTCCAAACCAGCAGGGTTAGGGAAGTTGTTTATGGGGTCACACTCTGACCCCACCCCCCCACACACACACACTTACACAACGCACAGGCAAGGTACTCTTTGTGTGTATGTTAATGCACCTATGCATATTCATGTAACCTCAATAAAAGAGCAGTGTTACGGGGGAGAAGATGAGAGCAACTGGGGTCAAGCGAAGGAGCGGCGTTTGTCCAGTTCTCTCCCGTGCACGAGAAACATGAAAAACTTTGCCTACTCGTGTCTTAATTTGCTGTGTAATTAAATTGTCCTTAACGTTCCAGCGAATAGGTTTATGCTACAAACCTATCACAGGGATTTAGTTTTTGTCACTTAGTCCCCTTTAAGAGTTATATTTTAAAATTTTCTACTGTAATGAAATTGTATATATATCCCATTAAAAAAAACTGACTGTGAAGCTATGCTTTTAACACGACACAATTGAAATAAATATTAAAATCACAATTTTACAATTTATACTATGTATTTATTGGGACAACAAAATCCACAAGATAAGAGTTACTTTAAAGGAGATGGAAATATTGGAAAAGTGATTTCATACAATAGCGTTAACACATGTGTTCTCAGGCTCAGCATTACTTATAATTGTTAGCTAGAGTCTAACTCATGGTTTAATAAACAGGGCTGTAGCTTTCAAAGACTGTATAGATGAAAGACGGAAGGTGTGCCACTGTGACATCATCCACTGATTTGCAGAGTGCTATTGCCTACCACTTTCACCAAAGTCACAAGTGCGCAGTAGATCTTAACATGAAATCGAGTGATCTAGCGTAGCTTTTTCACATTAATGGAGAACATAATTTACAAAATAAACATATCGTGTTCAGTGAAACTTGAAACTACCAATTGCGGCCATGAACTCATTAAAGTATTTACTAAGGTCAAAAAGGAAAAGCAGTGAGCGCTTTCCTTTATAATCCTATACAATCACTACTCTTTCTGCCACCCCCTGCTGGCTATTAGACATGTCTCCAGGCATGTCTGCACTGGCTTCACTTTTCAGACTGAAGCAACATCTTTTATATACATACTTTGAGAGCAGTTTCTATTGCTGAATGAGAAATATTGAGTTGAAAAAAAATGCTACAAGCATGTATGTGCCTTTTTGTTTAATCTGTATGTAACTACAACACTTCAGTTGTCTCTTCAGTCCTAAAGTGCTGTTGTTTAATTTAATAAAACCAGAAACAGATTAAACATTTTAATAGCATTTCAAATAAAGCTTCATCACTACTGTTATTTTAAACACAGCTTGATAATTAAGCTTTAAGTGATTTCTTACCAAATTCTTTTAAAAAGAACAAATAATAACAAGCATTAATTAAAAACAAAAAACTTTATTGGCATCTCCCTCTTTACAAGATAACAAAACTCATGGACTTGGGCTGGTTTGTGATGGTTAGAAATTTCATATGGACACAAAATGCAGTGGACATTAGTTTTACAGTCCTTCCACATCTTAAGCTGCAGGCCTTCATTTCATTTCATAACTAGATTTAAAGATATTGGTCAATATACGCTGATCAGCCACAACATTAGAACAGGATGTCATCGCCTACCTAAACATTGGTGCATGGCAGCAGCCTCCTCTAGCAGGACAATGAACTATACACAAAGCAAAAACTGCTTAAGAAACATGAAGGTGTTGGCCTGGCCTCCAAAAATACCCAGACCTCAATCTAATCAGGCTCGATGGGCAGAAAGAGCCCAAAGAGATCCACTGCCAACGCCTCCACACAATAATGATTTGTGGCTGATCTGTGTGTATGAGTGAAATATCACAGTTGGAGGGCCATTGTCCTTGAAAACCTAACATCGTTAAATTTATTCCCTGTACTACTCCACTAAAGGTTGAGCACCCGAGCAGGTTTTGAGTTTGATGCGGTTTATTTTTTAACGAGCAAAACAAACTGTAGTCTTTCAGCAAAAAGACGAAGGAAGCGAGAACAGGATCAAACAAAAATCAGCAGCTCAGGTTTTACTTCTTCCCAGATTTCTTGATGCCACCTCCAGCTGAAAGAGAGAGAAAGCAAACAAAAAGATTGGGTGTTAGAAAGCATCTAATTAAAACTGCAGCCACAACTGTGACCAGTGAGATTTCAAGTTTGAAAATATATTGATGACTGAAAGACTTTAAAATTAGAGGTTTTCTCAAACAATAACATAAATTTACTTTATTTTTTTAAAAGAAGAGATCACTGCATAAACAAAATAGCATAAACAAAGTATAAAATATTTGAATTTTAAAGGAGACACAAACATCAGAGAGACATGAGGTCTACTTTGGACTAAATTTGCTGCAAGTTTGGGGTTTGTTTCAGTTTCCTGACCTGCAGAGAAAGTGCAAGCTGTACAGTGAAACACCAGGGCTAACCTGAGGCTTTCACTGTAGCCATGGTAAGAAATGTTAAGCAAGGTTAAGCTACCAAGTTGACAAACATCTGAAAGCAGTCTATGGACGGAAATAAGAAAATTGCAAAAAGTGAACCCTGAAAACTGAAATGGCTACAGAAACTGGCAGATCACCTGAATCCTGCAGCTCAGCACTTTGCTGAAGTCACTGTATTCCTGAACTCTCACTGTGTGCTGGTAACGTATCAGTTATAGAAACACCACAGCTGTTGTGTATGATCATGATGTGTATGTTTGGAAATATGTAAGGTTTGTCATTATGAAACAAAATTAATAAATTCAACCTGATCTGGATTTTTTCCTGTTTCTATATACGTGGGATGGTCTGGTGATTGAATGTTGGGTGGATATAGGTTTGTTTTTTGTGTGTGGGACTGGGGCTGGAGGTTTTCAGGTATTATTGGTATTATTCATGTATTATATTACTCCACTTGTAACTTGTGCTTTGAGTATGTATTTTGCATTTTATCACTCCTGTGTGCACCTGATCACGGAGCAGTGTAGCAGTAGTTGCGGGAGTACATAAATCTGGTGCATTTCTTCACTTCTTGTTTTTGTGCATAGTTCTTTACAAATAAAGTAAAAATATAAACACAGCTCTTACTCAAAGGTCCTTTTCCTGATGCTTTGGCTTTCAACGCATCCAGGGCCTTCTGTTCGTCCTTCTGCTTCTGCTTGAAGGCTACATCATCCTACGGAGACACATACAATCTAAAATCTTTCTACGCTTCTGTCTTATGCTCAGCTCATTCCAAACCACAGCTGACATTTACCTCTGAATATTTCTTCCCTTCAGTCAAATAACAAAAATTAATATTTCATCTGATTTCCATTTATCAGATTCTCAGCTGACACCTGAAGACATCGCACTGGGTTGTGTAACAATGATTTGATTTGATTTTGTTATCAACAAGTTAAGGAATACATTTTTATCACCAGTTCTAATTTTCAATGGGCATTAATACAGGTTACTAAAGCAGAATTAAATGACAAAGTAGATCACAAAAAACAGAAAGGGTTAGCGAAATGATCCATACATCAAAGTTTACGTATCAAATTATCTGTGAAAACAGCTTTACTTTAAAAAATAAACAAAAACGAAATGTATAAAATATTGCAATGATGCAATGTAAATGTGTCTTATCCATGTTATCTTGATTACAAAGGGATGCAAATGATTTAGAGGCTTGATATTAAATGTTTTACACAGTCTATGGTGAGGGGGGGAAAGAGCCAGATACATACGTCATCCATGTCCTTGTTCTGTTTCTTGGGAGCCTTCAGTGGTTTCTTTTTACCTCCTGAGAAATAAAATTTACATAGATACATAAATACCGTGAGAGCAAAATGAAACTCAGAACTATAAAAGTAAATTAATAAATAACACAATAAGTAGATACAAAATATGAAAACCTAAGCTAGGCAAACGTATTTAAAGAACAGATCCACAAAGTAAAAGTATACTAATAAAAACAGTGGGGGAAAAATTGCATTCTATAACAATGGACTACAATGTCTGAACGTTTCTCTTTAAAATAAATTGACTAAGTTTAAACAATCTTCATTACCTTGTTATGAAAATAAAATATAAAATATAACTAAATCTACAATATCTAATAAACAATAGCCAGTGAATAAAAATGAAATATACGAAGGAATATGATCCAAGTTACGTCATTCAAATAACACAGCGTTCTTGACTTTTGTTTGCTTGGAAAAAAAAATTAACCTAAACTCCTTAAAATCTGCTTTAACTTAACAGGCAGCCAGATGACCGCGAAACCTTGAGCCTCGAATACAAATGTTAGTTACCACCACGGGTTATTCGAAGAAAGAAGAAGGAATATATTTAAATTTTTAAAGATTTCGTTTATATTGTCTGTTGCCTGAGATAATATTTATAAGCCGAATGGTCCATTCAGTCCCAATAATTAAAAAAATGGCCTAAAATATCTTCTATCTTCCGTATGTATATCCCAAAACAGAAAAAAAATCGTAATATGGCACATTTTTAACTGCCGATTGGTCAGAGAAAACGTTATCTTTAGCGGCAGCTAGCATTAGCCAACTATAAACGTGCTAAACTGAAAATCGTCAGTATCTTTTAAGATGTGCAGATTTTACAGACGAATCTCAAATGAAGCAATCTCCCACCTTCTCTTCCAGACATGGTTACAGCTTGTTATAAAATTTAAATGAAAGGAAAGTTTGCTGCGAAGACAACTGGTACTTCTCGCTAATCCGCGCTGTTAGGTCCCCGTTGAACCGGAAATAGAATGACCGCTTGTTGCCTGTCTCAAAGAAAATTCTTGACATCAATATGCTACAA